AAAAATGTTGTTTTTGCCCATTTTTTGAGAGAATTGCAAGACGGTGAGGATGGGGTGGGAAAGAGAAGGCGAAGAGGGATAGGAGAGAAGAGTGGTTCGACCCCATTTGTTTTATGCGTGTTCCACAATACTGACTCAGCTCCAGAACTATATTTTTGTTCTTAAGAATTCAAGGAATTCTTCGTTATCAGTGAGTTAAATATCATATCGATAAAGACATCGTCAGCTGTTCCTGTCTTTCACTTTTCCAAATGATTAGCGGCATACAGCGTCAGAACTCAAGCGACTCTGCTTCTTCAAAAATTATACTGTTGCCGCTTTTGGACCGAAATTTCGCAGCCCTTTTCTAACTGGCTTCTAGGATTTTGATGATTCTAAGCTCGGGTCAGATTCTAAATGAATCCGAGAGTCCTGCACTGTTTTGAATGTTCTTGAAAAACTGAGTGATGTCTGACGCTTCGTTAGGGCTTCCGGCCTAACTGCTCTTCATTTTATTCGAGAAATTCCACTTTTTGCTAAATGAAAGTTAAAATTTCAAAATTTACACCGGCTGCGTTGAGCAAACGCTTTTTATCACGAGCGCAGTTCTTCGCAACGGACATCTGCAAAGTAAATTTTTTGAATACCTTCTTAAACAGAAATATTGGTAAAAGAATTAAGTATCCAGTCAATGTAATATGAAAGCAGAGACTTTAAAAAAGTTTAAAAGTTCAAATTTTTGAAATTTGCTATGAATACCAGTTAGTGAAAATCTGATTCAAATGACCCCCTCCGTTTTCTTCCAGCTAACAGTGTATATTGAATAGGTAGGTGTTCCTCATTCAACCAATTTTCAGAAATGGACAATAATTGCAAGAAACGTGCTCCATTTTCAGGTTGGGAGTGATTCATCGTCCTCCGATACGGCACGACGACGTTTGGCGGCAGCAAGCAGCGAGGGTAACTCCAGTTCGGAGCAGTCGTGTGCCGAAACGGTTATTTTCCTTGGGCCTTCCATTAGGTTTGCCCTCCAAAATTTCTTGTTATCAGGTCATTCTAATTTAGTTGTATTATATCACCAATTATTTGCCTAAGGGAAGGGAAAGAGAAGGAAGATAGGTGGCGCGAGGGGCAGGGGAAGGAGGCAAGGGACTAACAAATTGATTCCATTTTCTTCACGGTAACAGATTAAACAGATTCCATTTTCTTCACGGTAACGGATTAAACAAATCACTTGGCCGCTTGATTCATTCTCAAATTTTAGCATCAGCTTAGTCTGAACCCAAGATCAAAGGTTGGAATATGCAGGGCGCATGAAACCTGTTTTAAAATTTTTGAGGCCAGTTGCAGCGAGCACGGGGATTTGAAGTTTCAGGTTCACAGTTTTCGTAGTTTCGAAAGCAAACTATCGTTGAGCACCTCCAATTTGCACGCTGGAAAAAAGATTTTCATTTCCACCGCAAACGCCCGATTTTTGCAGCTCTTACTTCTTTTGGCTTTTATTTCTCTTACCCGTCTTTAACAGTCTTCTAACTTCGTTCTTCTTCTTTCTCCGTAGTGCATTTTTCACGTGGCCGTACTGCTCACTGTTTCATTTTATTTTGTAGCAGTATCTCAACCATGTTCATTTTTATGCGTTTTTGCTTGTATGCAAATTGCAAAAGCGCATACTGTGACGACCCTGTCTGTGTACATATATATATATGTGTGTGTGTCTGTGCGTATGTTTGTATGTGTGTGCGTTCGTCTGTCCGAGTATTTCAACTCGACAACCAAGCAAGATCCAGCGCCAAAATTTTGTGAATGGGTTCCCCGGTCAAGTGCCACCCCAGGACCGCGCTAACAACTCTCACGCAAGTCTGGGCCCCGCGTATGGGAGGGTGAGAATTTCGACGGGAAAACTGCTAATTCGAGAACGAGTGAAATTTTAAGATTATTTTCCCCGTCCACATTTAACTCGAGGATTTCAAATTCAACCCTCAGGCATGCGTGGCTCTCACGTACGGCCCTATGGAAGTTTTTGCCGCGAAAATCGCTAACTTGGGAACCAGAAAAGCTGAGAGGCTGAAATTTTCAAGGAATGTTCCCAGTCCATGTACGACGTAAAGATTCCAAATTCAACCCGCAGGTATGCTCCCAGTTCACGTGTGACCCTGTGAAAGTTTTGACGGGAAAATTGCCAACTCGGGAACCAGAAAAGCTGGAAAGCTGAGATTTTAGGAGAATACTCCCCGTCCAAATACAACACAGAGGTTTCAAATTCAGCCTTCATGCACGCGTGGTTCTCATGTACGGCACTAAAATTTTTGGCGGAGAAATTACTCATTGAAAAGCTAGGTCATTTTCAAACAAAGGCTGGAACGCACCAGGCGAGCCGGTGCGATCATGCGTTTTTGCATCA